GAGAGAAAGATATTGTTCCAAAATAAATTATCAATCATATTTATATTAGTTGAACAAACGGGTTCGTTTAGTTTATTAATTAAAAATAAAATAAAAGATAAGTTTACTTATTTATGTTCTAAGATGAAAGGGTAGTATGTGTTCTTTTCCCCTTAGAGTTGAGGTGTAATCATACTTCCGGGGATTACAATTGTTGCAGTACTAATAAGGAAGGATTGCTGGATACCATCTTTGTCCATGCATAGACAGGAATGGACACGTCACGTTATAACCGATATTAAGACACATCATACTATAAACGTGCAGTAAATACCAACATATTTATTATTGTCTACTGTTTTCTGATTGTATCAAAACTTTTAAAATTCAGAGGAAAAAAATGTCTGTTCTAGTCTCCATTGAGGTCTTTCAGAAAATTAATATTTTATTTTAAGAGAATTCTATAAGGAATGGAAAATGATCTATCATTAAGAAGGAAGACTGAAAATTTCAGTGCCATATTTTAACATTTTTGCATAGTCTAGATTACCCTCACTTGGTCTGCCAAGACGTCGTAATGTCGCCCTGTGTACGGACTATAAAGGAAATAAAACAACTCTCTCCCTCTCTTTGTCTCTCTCTCTCTTTCTCTTGTTCTCCCTCTTGAACCCAAATTTTGCTGTGCCGACAGACGAGGCTTCGTTCCCATTGGGGGAACTTCTTGTCTGTATGCATTACGCGCGCGCGCGCACACACACACACACACACACACACACACACACACACACACACACATATACGCACACACACACATACGCACACACACATGACGGCCAAGCACACATACACTTAATAACTGATTCCAAGAATTGTCATTTTTGTGACAAGATATTGTTTTTATTTTAAACAATGAAATGTTTGTCTATATTTCTGAGAAGAAGTATTATGTACACTATTTACATTATTCGGATTATTGTCCTCATCGTTGTTGCCATATTTATCACAACGTTTCGGCCTGAAGGGCATATGGCACAGTGGATAAAGACGTTAGTTAGATCCAGTGACAGGACCCAAAGAGTGTGAGTTTAATACCTGGTTAAAGCGGTGGAGAACTTGGAGAGAGGAATTAACAGGAGATAACTGACATCCATTAGACATGTCAAGTGGAACTAGAACAGTCTACCTCACTGAGCGAAATAAAAGGTTCAGTTCGACATTCCAACCACCTGAATAAGTCTGGAGCGTAAAACGGCCGAAACGTTGTGATAATTATGGCAACAAAGGTGAGGACAATAGCCCGAATAATGTAAATAGTGTGCCTTATTTATTTTAACAAAATATTTTTAAAATATTCTACTTTTGCATTATAAGATTTACCACTTGTGAATTTTGGGTAAGTCGCGCTTCTTACTAGAGTTTTGAGTTCACCAAAAGAAGGAAAACGTTCGTTGCCAATAATTCCATACACTCTACATATATTTGTTTATGCATAAAGAATAAAAAAACTAAAAGTAATTCCGATGAACATGCCTGTAGCTAGACAAATAAGAAAAGTGTAGCCATTGTTATAAAGTCTTAAGCAAAAGAAGGGATTCAGGATATTCATTTAATTACAAATAAAAACTTGTTTTAAGATGAATATTTGACCATCTGTACACTAATCTTTTAAAGAATTATTTTTGTTGGTACATAGTCTTCTTCTACGTACCGTGTAGATATATCCTAAAGAAGGCCGGAGTATACAACGGTCGAAACGTTATAATAAATATGACGACAAAGATGAGGATAATAGTCCAAATAATGTAAATAATGAAATGTTTGTCATTTACATGTGGAATTTTTCGTTGTGACTGCTTTTAGTTGGGATAGCATTATCTGCAACAAAAGGTCACCAAAGAAACTCATCAGTCTAGAATTATCTCGTTAGCTTATTATGCAATTTCTGAACAGACGCCTTTCGTAAATTACTTCCATGATTTCGTCTAACTTTCGTCTAACTGGATGTGTTGTCACTACTAGCTGAACTAAACGCAATGGCAACGAAAATGTTTAAATGTAAATTACGTATTGTCTTCATTTGTAAAGAGAAAAGGAGAAAAGGAATACATTTCTACAGTGAGATATTTCAATATTTTTTTATTTAACTAATAAATGATAAATAAAACAGAGAAATTATACTAGTGTATATATATATATATATATATATATTCTTGTTCTTTTCATATATATATATATATATATATATATATATATATATATATATATATATATCTGAAAAGATCAGACGATCAATCAGCAAGTCTGCAAAGAGACTCCTGCGGTGTTCGCTTCGTGTCTTATATTATTAAGATTACGTTGCCTGATAATCGCAATAACCTGTCCATAAATGCCACAAATCGTTCATTTTTGTGTTTGTGATGTACATTTATTGTTCTTAAAATAAAGATGCATCGTACAATGAAATATAGAACTAACAGAAATTCGCTTATTTTGAAAATAAGCACTAATATACGATCCGATTTTGTGGCCGTTGAGAATTGTACCGAAAAGAATATATATACGAGTATCACATTACAATCCAAAACGATCATTTTGTTTGAAGTTAATTAAACTAAACTTATTTTTTTTAATCAAACTAACTAGCTCGGACATTTATGAGTTTATCACGCCATCCATCACGATACTGTATCAAAGACAGAATGTCATTAGGGAACATAATACAGATGGTCAATCTAAGTGGTTGCTGGGCAACCAAGTCGTCTTGCTCCATGTCCAGAGCAGTAGATCACCCGCAAATTCTTGTTTTACTCGACAGCAATGTCCTGCAAAGCGCATTCTGTGTTCGTGTAATATTGTAGAAATATCAGTGATGGTTCCCTAGAGCTGTGATTTAGTTGGATGTTGTCTCCAGATGTCATGTATATCTCTCAGCAGTCGAGTGTAGGTTCCATCAAGCTTAAATACGTTTTAGTTAATGCTCAATCAGTAACATCACATATTAAAACCGACTCTACAATGAAAAGACAAACATTATTAAACGCTCCTAATGTCATATAACTGCAAGGAAAAAATAACTTTTTTTCTTCAACCAGTACAAAAATTGTTTCTTTCATAAATATGAAGAAGCAGAGAAACAAGGAGTAAACAACTAAACTACTTTATGAATAGATGGCTGGGCAGTGACAAACGGAGGTTGTGTACAAGCTTAATCACCCACGTTTACGGTAACTTAAAAGTACAAGACAATGTAAATTAATTTATTTATAAACATAGTTTTTGGGTCAGTTGTTTGTTTATGTTATAAATGAAGTGTCGTATTTTTGTTTTCTTGATGACACAAAGAATAAACATAATTATGATTATCAATTTTTTGTGTTTTTTATTACGAATAAAACAACACGGGAATAACTTGTTTTTTCCTACCTATAATCCCCTTTCAGATTCCTCATGGTCATGATCTGTCCGCCGCTCCAACCAGCTGGCCAGCAAGCAATTCTCCAACAAGCTACCAGATCCAGCTAGCCATCCCCGTCAGCTTTAACGATATGCGATAAACTGTCTTTTTTAGGAAAAAAACTGTCTTTTCAAGACAACGCTTTTAAACTGATTCAAAACTGTCCTTTTCAAGACAACAATTCTCAACGGCCATAAAACTGTCCTTTTCAGAACAACGCTTTTCAACTGCTACAAAAGTGATCTTTTCAGGAAAACGCTTTTCAACGGCTACAAAACTGAACTTTTCAGGACAACCTTTTCAACGGCTATAAAACTGTCCTTTTCAGGATAACGCTTTTCAACGGCTACAAAAGTGTCCTTTTCAGGACAACGCTTTTCAACGGCTACAAAAGTGTCCTATTCAAGATATCAATTCTCACCGGCTACAAAACTGTCCTTTTCAGGACAACGCTTTTCAACGGCTACAAAAGTGTCCTTTTCAAGATATCAATTCTCACCGGCTACAAAACTGTCCTTTTCCGGAAAATGCTTTTCAACGGCTACAAAACTGAACTTTTCAGGACAACCTTTTCAACGGCTATAAAACTGTCCTTTTCAGGATAACGCTTTTCAACGGCTACAAAAGTGTCCTTTTCAGGATAACGCTTTTCAACGGCTACAAAAGTGCCCTATTCAAGACATCATTTCTCACCGGCTACAAAACTGTCCTTTTCAGGACAACCTTTTCAACGGCTATAAAACTGTCCTTTTCAGGACAAGAATTTCCAACGGCTACAAAACTGTCCTTTTCAAGACAACGCTTTTAAACTGCTTCAAAACTGTCCTTTTCAAGACAACAATACTTAATGGCAATAAAACTGTCCTATTCAGTATAACGCTTTTCACCGGCTACAAAACTGTCCTTTTCAGGACAACGCTTTTCAACTGCTACAAAACTGAACTTTTCAGTACAACGCTTTTCAACGGCTACCACACTGACCTTTTCAGGACAACGCTTTTCAACGGCTACAAAACTGTCCTTTTCAGGACAAGAATTTCCAACGGCTACAAAACTGTCCTTTTCTGGATAACGCTTTTCAACGGCTACAAAACTGTCTTTTTCTGGACAACGCTTTTCAACGGCTACAAAACTGTCCTTTTCAGGACAAGAATTTCCAACGGCTACAAAACTGTCCTTTTCTGGTCAACGCTTTTCAACGGCTACAAAACTGTCCTTTTCAGGACAAGAATTTCTAACGGCTACAAAACTGTCCTTTTCTGGACAACTCTCTTCAACGCTCTTCTTACACTCTACATGAACATGCAAATATATTTTTTGCCTACTGAACCGTGACCTTATTTTTTATCGATTAATTTCTTTAACGACAATAAACTTAGCAATATATATATATATATATATATTTTACATAAGTATTCGTTTTGTTTGTTGTTGTCTCCTGTCATTCAATATGTATTTGAGGGCCAATTCACCACCCGCAACTCTGTTTCAGGAATTCACCAACGGTTAATGCATATGGAAAAGTTGCCCTTGATGTAAATAAATTAAAGAATTATACGTAGAATCAATGTTCCTCCTTGAGACCTGGTTCCCAACAATGGAGCGGGGTAATTTGGTTTTTATGGGGGGCAATTCGATAAGTTATTAACAGTAGATTTTTTTCTAGTGTGTCTGTGCGAGTATGAGTGTATGTGCGAGTTAATATATACGGTGCATATACAGTACAGATACATAAAAATAATTGTGTGTATGTTATGGGACCTTACCCATAATAACATAATGGACCATTCCATACGTAATAAATTCTGCGCCTCAAGAGGAAGTAGGGAGTTCAGTCCGAAATCGGGCGACCGGCGGATCGGTTGAACTCTCTGCCTTCGGGCGAGGAGGAACCCGAACGAGGCTACGCCGAAGGGCGAAGTCCCTTTCAGGGAGGTAAACCGACCCTGAACACGTTTATACGGGTTCAAAGGGCATATTTTTGGCCGAGCCCACAGGCTCGGAGATCCCACGGGCTCGGAGATCCCACGGGCTCGGAGATCCCACGGGCTCGGAGATCCAACGTTAAACCGGCCTTGTGCCACATGATGCCTTCGTGGGAGTGACTAAATACTGTTCAGTCTGAAGTCCGAGTCAGAGGCAGACCGAACCAGAGTCGCGTTCAGACAATTACTACTAAACCTGATTGTTCGTACTAACACTTTTCTACTTCTTTCTGTTTGTAATATATCTGTGTTATTCCATATCCGTGTTCGAGTTCATCTTTATTGGTTCTACCTTGGACCATCACCGTGGTGCAAGGAACCGGACCATAACAGTGTATATATATACATATGTAATTACGTATGTACTATATATATATATATATATATATATATATATATATATATATATATATATATATATATATAATTTTTTAAAGGATGTTTTCGTAATTTCTATCTCAGTACTTCATCTGTCTTTTTGTTCTTTTATTTCTCTTTTATGGAAAGCGTTCATTGGAAGCTTGTTTAGACCAAGTTAATGGGCTTTTAGGCTTCCTCCGCACGAATAGGAGTTGACTTTTTGAATAATAAGAATTATACGTCACAGTGGGGGCGTGATATCATAGTCGAAAATGGTTGGGTATCACAGTCATAGAGAAACCGACTTTAGTGACAGGCCCTAGAGTATCAAGACAGCTGCAGCTGTGAATGAGGGTGATGCCAAACAAGCTGATGTTTTCATTTCTCGACTGAAGATTCATGGAAGTGATTTGATATAGCAGAATGGCAATGAGAGGCCTCATAGAAAATCAAAGACAAGATAAGAAATCAGAGTCTATGGCAGGACGACGTTGCCTCATCCACACTATAGTCCTGACCTGACACCCTCAAACTTGGGCCCATAAAAAAGACACTCAAAAGGCAGTGGTCATTTCCAATGATAACGAGATGAAAAAGTCAAACCTTACATGAGTTTGGAAAGAAGAGATACATTCTCAGAGTTGGGTATACACGCTCTTAAATCAAATGAAGAACACAATGTTTGAGACAGAAGGAAAGTATGTTAAACAATACACTTGGAATTCCGAGAGATTTCTGATAATGTCGGTATGTTTTGAGTTCTTCTATTATGAAAACTGTTATAATTAAAGAAAAGGCATTATTTTTTTGACCGACTCTCGTGATTCTTGTCTGCATACTTTCAAACATTCCAATTATCAAATTGTTTTGGAGTTATTTTTCATTAAGACAAAGAGAGGCAAACATTCGAAAAAGCGACGAATATTTAGCATTTTAATTTGCTTACTACTGTACTTTCTATAGAAGACACATACCTACACATACAAATGAACGTGTACATGCACGTATGCATCATACACGTACACATTCGAGCACGCGCATAAAGATATGCGCACACACACACATGGATACCAATATCAATGTATACATTGTGCCCAGACAAATGCACATACAAACTTTCATGTACGTACATATATATGTATACAAATATTATCTATCTATCTATCTATCTATCTATCTATCTATCTATCTATCTATCTATCTATCTATTTCATTCTGTTCATATCTGTCTCAGTCTGTTCATATCTATCTATCTTTAGGAAGAAAGGAAGGAAGGGACCAATTGAGAGAGATTCTATCTCAGTCTTTTCCTTCCTTCCTATCTATCTATGTATCTATCTATCTTTAGGAAGGAAGGAACCAATTGACATAGATTCTATCTCAGTTGGTTCCTTCCTTCCTATCTATCAATCAGTCACTTCATCTATCTATCTATCTATCTATCTATCTATCTATCTATCTATCTATCTATCTATAGGAAGGAAGGAAGGAAGGAAGGAAGGAAGGAAGGAACCGGTTGAGAATTCTATCTGTCGACTATCTATCTATCATCTATCTATCTATCTATCTATCTATAGGAAGGAAGGAAGGAAGGAAGGAAGGAAGGAAGGAACCGGTTGAGATAGATTCTATCTCAGTCGGTTCCTTCCTTCCTTATCTATCTATCTATCTATCTATCTATCTATCTATCTATCTATCTATCTATCTATCTATCTATGTTTCTTTAGGAAGAAAGGAAGGCACCAAATGAAAGAGATTCTATCTCAGTCTTTTCCTTCATTCCTATCTATCTATCTATCTATCTATCTATCTATCTATCTATCTATCTATCTATCTATCTATCTATCTTCTGACCCAATATATATCCATCGAACAATTTTGTTAAATATCAGGCCGTAACATTCGTGTGTATGAACATTATAAAAGGTTAACACACGACAACGAATAAAAGAGGCTTTATCTACAATTACACGCACAAATACATTCGTGCGCGCGTGTGTTTATAGATATGTATTTTATTTATGTTCCGTCATGTGGATGGCGCTTGAAAGCTAACAAGTTTTTCATGTGTAGAACATTACTGTATTTTTTTATTTTTATTTATTGAAATTTTTTTTCTAAATTAGTTTCTACGTTGCTTTCAGCTGAGTCTGGAACATTTTTACACTTGTGAATCCCCAATGAGGTTCGAATTTCCTAGATGGTGTCAATTATCCTTCGTTTTGGTGCATGGCATACCAAATGTTTCAGAATAGTTACGCAATCGTTTGTTGAGTTACTAATTCCCCATAAATAAAAAACAACCAAAAAGAAAACATAAGCAAGAATTTTGTTGTGCTTGATGCTGGCGAGCTAATCCTTGTTGCAGACGCCTGATCAGGAACATTTGTGTCTGTTCAACACCCACATAGCCTATCTATGGTTTATACTGCAACTATGCTGAGTAGGCCTTAGTTACAAGTTCTGAGAAAGAGCGCATCATCTGTCATGACCAACAGTCTGAACAAGGCCGGAACAATCAAACTCTCGGTCACGATGACTTGAAACTTCATGCTAAAACAACCATCGACGTTTATCCAATTTCCCTAACACTGCTTGGGTCAACCCGTGGTATGGTTTCTAAGCACTTTTCAAAGGTTCCGCATCCTTGGATCGGCTCTATTATAACATCAATAAATCACTGTCCTGATAAATCGACCACAGTGAGATTCGAACTAAGGTCTCATGGCTGGAAAACGAACGTTCTAACCACTCTGTCACGCAGACTGCAGTAAGAAACAAAGGCAATTTTGTTGGGAAATGGCTGGTACACCAGTCTCAAAATTAAAATCTTACATCTTTTATAATTCAAATATCATGAAACAAGCAGAGCATTTGTGCTGTTTACTGAGGTTAGCAAGGTGACAAGTATGGGTCAACCAATGAGGATCAAATTCACTACTCAATAGTAATGGATAACTAGTTAGCCCGTTAACCATTACATGCATCGAAGTGTTTTTTTTTTTTTTTTTTTTTTTTTACTAGGCTTAGCTTACTTTGGCACAAGGTCACAAGTATGGAACACTCAGAGAAGACAGAACTCACTACTTGGTAGTAATAGTCAACCAAACTAGCTTGCTAACAATCACCCCACACAGCATAGCTTAGTTTGCCACAAGGTAACAAGTATGGAGCACTCAGTAAGGATCAGACTAACTACTCAGTAGAAATAGTCAAACAAACTAGCTCGCTAACAAACATCCCAGAAAGCGCTCAGTGAGGATTTACATCACTACTCAGTATTAATGATTAACCAAACTAGTTCCCACTCAATTATTTCACGTCAAGGTGTTTAGTTGTCATTTACTATTTATATTACTATTTATTTAGCCTATTCTGACGCAAATCCACAGGTATAGGGCACTCAGTAAGGTTCGAACTAATTACCCAGTAGAAATACCCAATCAGACTAGCTCGTCAACCATTTCCCCACCCAGAGACGTCCTTAGTGACTAAGCATAGCTTGGCTGAAGATTACAAATATTGGGTACCTAATGAGGATTGAACTCACTACTCAGTATTAATGGTTAACCAGACAAGCCTTGCAAACCATTATCCCATACTGTGGCGCCCACAAATCTAGACAAGTTGCAGAATAGGATACATCTGTAGTGAAGATTAAATTTAACACCACCTACTTACATAATTAACTCGCTAATTGTTACATTATAAAATGTACTTTCATTCATTTAATATCTTAATGGTGAAAAGATTGTTTGCGCAGTAAATATTAGGACATATATTAGAATATTTATGGTATATATTAGGAGTGTTCGTTCAAATTTAACAAAAAAAAAAAACAAAAAAACACACAAAATACTTCAGATATTTGTTTATATTTCTGGGGAGGTATTGAAATTACTTACATGGTTCGGACTGTTGACCTCATCATAATTACCATATTCACGACGTTTTGGTTGTTGTAAATTCCAGCCTTCTTCAGGATCTGTGCATATTTCTCAGATGACACACTGTAATATATTTCTGAGAAGAGGTATTGTAATTATTTACATTGTTCGGACTGATGCCTCATTTTTATTCATGACGTTTCGGCCGTTCTACTCTCCGGCTTTCTTAAGGATATGTCTCTATTTCTGAGATGAAGTATTGTAATTATTTACATTATTTACATTGTGCTCGGGCTGTTGCTTTCATCTTCATTACCAAATTCAAGACGTTTCGGCCGTTCTACTCTCCGGCCTTCTTTAGGATATGTCTATATTTCTGAGAAGAGGTATTGTAATTATTTACATTATTCTGACTGATGTCCTCATCTTTATTGCCATATTCATGACGTGTCGGCCGTTCTACGCTCCGGCCTTCTTTAGGATATGTCTATATATCTGAGATGAGGTATTGTAATTATTTACATTACTTACATTGATCGGACAATGTAGGGGACCGGTTTCATATTGTCATTAAGTAATAAAGTGATCACCCCAGAAGTACTACCTATTAATATCCTTCCTGAGATGACATGCAAGATGCATGTTTTGTCTTTCATGTTTCTCTTTTCGATTCATGATTGACATTCAAATAAGCTTCTACTGTACATAAAGTAGGGGACCGTTTTCCTATTGTCATTAAGTAATAAAGTGATCACCCCAGAAGTACTACCTATTAATATCCTTCCTGAGATGACATGCGTGATGAACGCTTTGGATTTTAGGTTTCTCTTTTCGATTCATGATTGACATTCAAATAAGTTTCTACAGTACATAAAGTAGGGGACCTGTTTCCTATTGTCATTAAGTAATAAAGTGATCACCCCAGAAGTACTACCTATTAATATCCTTCCTTATGTGACATGCAAGATGCATGCTTTGTCTTTCATGTTTCTCTTTTCGATTCACGATTGACATTCAAATAAGCTTATACTGTACATAAAGTAGGGGACCGGTTTCCTATTGTCATTAAGTAATAAACTGATCACTCCAGAAGTACTACGTATTAATATCCTTCCTGAGATGACATGCGTGATGAACGCTTTGGATTTTATGTTTCTCTTTTCGATTCATGTTTGACATTCAAATAAGTTTCTACTGTACATAAAGTAGGGGACCGGTTTCCTATTGTCATTAAGTAATAAACTGATCACACCTGAAGTAGTACCTATTAATATCCTTCCTGTGGTGACATGCGTACTGCTCGCTTGGACAATCCTATCTCTTTTCGATTCATAATTAATTTGGCAGAAGATTTCTGTAGTAGGCTTTTTGCCAACCAAAACTCTCTTATTATTTAACCTAACGTCGACGAGAGAAGAAATGGATTCATACCTTTCACAAAGGTATTTGCACGTTCGTGAATGTAACCTTCTTGATGTTGGGGAAGAATTGGATTTATGCCTTTACTATTGTCATTAGTATAAAGTGAACTGAACCGAATAAGCAGGACTTGAACTCGGATTGTTTTCCAGGCTGATAACAGTTAAATTATCCGAACACCCATTCGCTCAAAGCTGCAATTTTATTTAAGTAACCACACTTTTGTATAGAGACACGCATGGCTTTTTGGTATTAAAGACAACATTGCTTGTGTCATGAATCCTGTCTCGCTGATTCAATAGCCATAACCTTGTGCCAGGATAAATATATATGCATTCTTCTGCAGGATCGGTATTTACTAAACATGCGTTGCAGCAGTCTGCAAGTATCAAAGATTGGTAATTAACAAAGGCGTTTATTGGAGGAGCGAAAGATGCCTTTTAAAAGCTAATCAGAGTATTAAGAAGCAGGAATTTTCGTTAGAAACAAAGGCAAGAGTGCCGGGCTCCTATGTAATATCAATACTTCTATATAGCAGTTAATGCTGAACCATTTTCTCAAGAAGAGAGACTTGAGGAAACGGAAATATAGTTCTACAGAAGAATGATAAGAATAACACGGACGAAACATGTGAGCAATGAGGAAGTTTTAAGGAAAATAGAATAAGAAAAGGACACTTATACTTAGAATCGGAAAGAGACAGTTGATATTTCTCAGACACATTAAGAGGAAAGAGTTCTTGGAGAACCTGACATTCACAGATCAGACCAGAGACAAAATGGCAGAGGAAAGAAGCAAGTAGTCTTCCTAAAAGTCTTGTGTAAATGCATGGATCATCACAGAGTATGATTGAGAGTAAAATAACAAACGTTATTATCATCCACTTCACACTCTTTCACGGTCTCTTGAACAGGAATAGAGGCTTACCACTTGTTCCTGTTTAAGATTGTGTTTCCGGTCCCATCTAAAGTCTTTTCGTTCTCTTTTACTCCTAGTAACACTTTTGCACCTTAATGGCATTATTGCCTTGCTTGGGGTGAATTGATTAAAAAATTAAAAAAATAAAGAAAAGAAAAAACAAAGGACACGATGTTGTGAAGGGTCAAGATCGCTGAAGGAATGCGGCATATAGAAGATGAAATTTCACTCCTTACTGGCTGTTCCCTTATTAAGACATAACGGTGGAGTAGTGGATAGCGGCTCGGATTGAGATATCAGAGAGCCGTGTTCGAATTCCAGTCGAATCCATTACATTCACTTACGTGCTAATACCTTTGGGAATGGTATGAATCCTCTTCTTCCAGCTATGGGTAAATAATAGGATTGACTGTTTTCTATAGCCTTATATGGCAACTGGTCTACCGCAATCTGCTATCAAAAGATACATGATCGCCTAAGCATGTATCACGCATGGCACATAACTGAATAGATGAAGCGATTGCTTTATAGTTTCATTTCATACTTCGCATCTTTTCGTTGAGTCTATTATTTCTAGCTTCTGGTTAGTCGTGAAATTTTACAATAACTTCATTTGTTCAATATTAATTTGAATTCCATTTTTATGTAAGGTAAAAGTGATTAAAAATTTCTTAA